ATGTGTCGTCTGTGTCTTATGAAGCTTGTCAACTTAGTATGCATTACTATGTGTCATTTTAGTTTAGAGTCAATAATCGTATGTCTAGTCCATTTGAGTTGGTACATTCTGATTTATAGGGTTCAATAAAGAATATTTTATTTAATAAATATTCGTATTTTGTGTCATTTGTGAATGATTATTCTTGTGTGATCTGGTTGTTTCTTATGAATGCTCGTTTTGAATTATTCTCCATATTTGAGACATTTTGTAAAGAAATAAAAATTCAGTATGGTTGTCGTATACCTATTTTACATTCTGATAATGCTCAGGAATATGAATTTAATCCTTTTTCAGCTATTTTTAGTAAAATTGACATTATTCATCAGACTTTTTATGCTTACACTTCTCTGCAGAATGGTGTTGCTGAGCGCAAGAACTGTTATTTGTTGGAAGTCACCTGTGCACTATTATTCTAGATGAATGTTTTCCGATAGTTTTGGAGTGATGTTCTGATTGCTTGTTATCTTATTAATCATATATGCCATCCTCTGTATTAAATGGGTAAAGTTCATATTCTGTCATTTTTTGGGGTAAGTCCTTTTTATTAACTCCTAAGGTTTTGAGTGTGTCTGTTATGCTCATAACTTGGGCCTTGGGTTTGATAAACTTAACCCTCGGGCTACCAAATGTGTATTTCTTGGATATTCCCGCACATAGAAGGGGTATCGTTGCTATAGTCCTTCACTTCGTCGATATTTTACTAGTGCTGATGTCACGTTTAAGGAATTTGTTACATATTTTTTGGCATCTATTCAACTTTTGGATCTGGACATTGGGTCGTCTCTTATACCACCACTTCTTACCTTGTCGTCAGATATTCTGCTACCTACTGTGCTACCATCAACTTCACCATTTCGTGTATACTCTCGTCATCGTCGATCATCGACTTCGGTGCCTGTATCGTCTTCCTTGCCGTCTCCTGATTCTGGTCCATCAGGTAATTTAGATTTTTTATTTATTGCTCTTCGAAAAGGTACTCGTTCGTGTATTACTAACTATTCCATTGCTCATTTTGTTTTATATAATGTCTTGTCTCCTGTCTTCTCTTATTTTATTTTTCAATTATCTACTATCTCTATCCCTAAACACTAATAGGATGTGTTGTCTGATCTAGGTTGGAGGAAAGCTATGGAGGAGATGGATGCATTACATTATAATGGGACTTGAGATCTTGTTCCTTTAGTTCCTGGTAAACGAACTGTTGGTTTTCATTGCATGTATACTGTTAAATTTAATCCGAATGGTTCTGTTGAGCGTCTCAAACCCCGTTTTGTTGCAAAGGGCTTTACTCAGACCTATGGTGTTGATTATGAGAAAACTTTCTCTCCTGTTGCGAAAATCTCTTATATTCGTACCTTGATTTCTTTGGCTGCTAATCTTGATTGACTCTTGTTTTAGTTAGATGTCAAGAATGGTGACTTGGTTGAAGAGATATACATGAGTAGCCATCTGAGTTTATTGCTCGGGGGGAGTACAGTAAGAGTGTATGTTCGTTAAAGAAATTTTTGTATGGTTTGAAGCAGTCGCTGAGGGCATGGTTTAATAAGTTTTGAGATGCAGTTTTAAAGTTTGGTTTTCTTCGTTGTCAGATAGACCATTCTGTGTTTTATAGGTAGACGGATGTCGGATATGTTTTATCGGTAGTTTATGCAGATGATATTGTGATTACTGAAAATAATTTTGAGGGAATTGACAAGTTAAAAACCTTCCGGTAAGACCAATTTTATACTAAGAATTTGAAAAAATTCATGTATTTCTTGAGTATTGAGGTGACTTAATTTAAATAGGGTATTTGTTTATTTTAGAGGAAATATGTACTTGACATGTTAGAGGAAGCAGGTTTGCTAGGTGACAGACTAATTGATGTTCTTATGGATTCGAATCAAAAATTGTTGATAGATGATGGTGCACTGTTTGAGAATCTGGTTCGGTATCACAGGTTGATTGGGAAGCTCAATTATCTCACTTTTACTTGACCAGATATTTTCTATGTAGTTAGTACAGTAAGTCAGTTTATAGGATGTCCTAGAGTCGAGGATCGAAATTTCGTTTCAAAGTACCGTTTCGGTCAGCTTGAAAACAAAAACGTTTCAAAAACGCAATGGAAACGTAAAAAGAATATGGAAACATGTGAAAACACAAATACAATCTATTTATTTGTAAAGATAAGCTTAATAATTAATTAATTAATTAAGCTTGTTTATTGGGTTAATGTCCATTTATATAAGATAACATCAAGTTTGAGGTAAAAAAAAGGGTTTGACATGAGGCGAACATTACTTCAATTAGTTTTAAACAATTAATTTTTATAAAACAAACGCATTTTTACATGTATATATGACATTTTTAAATTAAATATGACATGTATAACACTTTTAAATTAAAATGAGTACAAATTTATTATTTGCATGTTATTATAATACTAAATTACTAATTTAAATTGGGTCATCAAATTACTAAGTAATTATTTCATTAATATTAAAAATATTTCATGAATAATTTTTATAAACATAAATACTTAATTTTAGATATTAAATATACCATAAAATTAATTGCAGTTATTTTGATAAGTTAATTAACAATAATAGGTTGTTTATTAATTATAAGGGCTATTAACAACTATAAAGGAAAAAATGGGGGGCTGAAATGACATTTATGTTAATTAAAACAAAATAAAAAGGGCAAACAGTGAGTCGGTGATCCCTTCATTCCAATCGCACAGACCACAGAGAGAGAGAAGATCAGAGACTACGATCGACTGCGAGAGACAGAAGATTGAGACTCCGATCGATTAAGACTTCGATCGATGAAGAGAGAGAAGACAGATCGATAAAGACCCAACACTAGCCCCCGGTTGAGAAGAAGAAGAGGAAAAAAAAAATTGTACCTGGAGGAGGTTGGATCTGGACACGAGGACGACCCATGGTAAGCCACTAATTAATCTCCTTTTGATTTTTGAGCTTTTCTCTTCCGTCTATCTCTCTCTCTTCTGTTTTGCTGGAGAAGCTGTCACAAAGGAAAAAGTTCTACATTTTTTGGTTGAAGGAGTCCGGAGTCTGGACACTGCAAGTCGAATTAAGTCCCTGTTTCGATCGAAACAGTTCGAAACCGTAACATTTCGCTCAAAACGCAGGAATTTTAGTCTTTCACCCTTGTTTCGTGTCGGCGTGTTGAAAATCTGAAATGTTTTGGATGTTCGACACGATATTTTCAGTCCTTACCTAGAGTACCACATTGGGAGTTAATTACTTGTATTCTGCGATATCTCAAACGTGTTCCTAGCCTTGGGTTATTATATCGAGCTAATGGACATCTTAGAGTGGAAGATTTCTCAAATGGTGATTGAACTGACTCTCCTTTTGATCGGAGATCAACTATTAATTATTGTACTTACTTAGGAGGTAACGTTGTCTATTGGAAAAGTAAAAAACAACCTGTGGTAACGAGATCTAGTGCTGAGGCTGAGTATAGGGTAATGACGCATACAACGAGTGAGATGATGTGACTATTACACTTTCTCCAAGAAATTAGATTTTCAATTCATCTTCCTTTATGGTTGTTCTGTTATAACCAGACAATTATCCATATCGCTGCCATAGTTGTTAATATCGTACGATTCGCGATACGTATCGTACGATACGTCACGATACATTTGAAAAACGATACGTATCGTGTCTCTGTATCGTTTTTGTACCGTATCGTACGATACAATACGTACGATACATGATGATTATGTTTTTTTTTATTTTTTAGGATTAAAATGAAATCGTTTTACTCTAAAACTTATTTTTAAATCACTATCTAGTGAAACGTCGTTTCAGTGGTTATAGTTTAAAAAAAATAAATAAAGTCTAATGTTAATGTTGTTCAATTGAATTCAAAATTTCTAATTAATATTAAAATTGTTCATGCAGTTGATGTTAGAAGTTTGAATTAGGGGCCTTCGCACTTTGATATTATTGAACTATATCGGAAACTTGGAATAGTTGGTGCAATATTAATGAAATACTATGTTATTATGAGTCTATGACTTTTTTATAAAGGTATATACATATATTTTATTAATAATTATTTAAAAATTAACATTGCGCGTATCTTACGATACACAATACGATACAATACATTATTTTTAAAAAACGATATGCCTTCCGATACACGATTTAACAACTATGTTCGCTGCCAATTTAGTGTTTTACGAGAAAACAAGATAGTAACTGGAGAGATTACGACTCCATTTGTAAAATCTAAAGATCAGCTTGTAGATATGTTTACCAAGATATTGAGTCGTGCACGTCTTATAGCAATTTGTTCCAAGCTTGGGAGAGTGTTAAGAGTATTAGGGTATTATGTGTAAATAGTATACGGTATATACGTTTTTTGTATTATTATAAGTTAACTATAAATAAAAGTGGTTTGTGAGATGAATGTTAAGTTTTGACCACTCTCTGTTTCTTTCTAATATTGTGTTAATTCTCTCAACTTAACACACATAAACCGGCCGGTTTAACGGTTCTTTAGTGGGTGGATTACTTGAACAATCTAATTGGTGAACCAGATCGGTTTAGGCACCGGTTCACTGGTTTTTCGGCTCAACTTGCCGGGCTGATCTGGTTTTAATAACGCTGATACCAATTATACGTTTCTCAGTTCATATGCTTTCTGTTTAGAATTATGGCAATATCCGGACTGTTAAATATAATGTCATATTGGCAATATACCATCACTGAATGGTCGGCATTGATAAACACAGCTGACCATTACATGTGAATTGGATGGCCAATATTCTAATGTTTTCTTGATGCCTGCAGTGACACAAACCATTTCTTTCAGTAATCCATTAGCATCATTGGGAAAGATCACTAATTTTGTTTTTCCTTAGCGGATGTCTCTATCTGAGCTACTTCGCTTGCATATTATTTTTATAGTGTTTTTCGAAACAGTCCTTGGTGATCCACAAGATGGATCTTGTAACATGTATTCTTGTTGGTAAAATGCAGATCAATGCCTTTTCAGTCACTATAGTGGAAAATGGGGTCACAGAGTTCTGTATTAGTAGTGTCTGTGAGTTTTTTTTTGGTAAAATTCTTTGATAATTTTCAGTGCAGGATTGGGCTGACATGCTTCTCAGGATGTATGTGAGATGGGGAGAGAAGCAGCGACACAAAACCAAAGTAGTAGAGAAATCTATGGGAGAAGAAGCTGGGATTAAGTCAGCTACAATTGAACTAGAAGGCCCGTATGCATATGGGTATTTGTCTGGAGAGAAAGGAACACACCGTATTGTGCGACAATCTCCGTTCAATGCAAAAGGCCTTCGTCAGGTAACCTGCCATGATTATAACGTATTATTTTTTTTTTCTCTCTTCCAGTTTTCATAAATTGAGAATCTGTTATAGCCAAATCAATACCTCCCATGGAACCAATAGTTGAAGTCATATTCTTGTGTATTGACATCGAGAAGAGAAGACTCAACATGTATAGCGTTATAATGTAGTTATAGATGGAACCATGTGGCCACCACTTCAATCATCATCTGGTTGAAACTTGGTTGTGCAATGTTCTTTGTTAGGTAGTCTGTTTTTTATTGTTTCATGACACTAAAAGTGAATGAAGTACCCTTGTATTCCCCATGGCATGACTATGGTTTAGGACATGCATACAATTCATTTTTTGTTGAATGGGTACCACAGGCACATCTGGCAAGAGGAAAAGTGTTCTTTATTTTTTTTTTCAGTCAAACCAATTATTTTTTGATGTTTATGTTCCTCATTCATACCAAAAATAGCAGAAAGAAGGGGAAGAAAGGAAAAAGTGCCAATAGCAGACATGCTAAACCGTCAAGTTTTTCCATAAGATAAAAGGACAGCAAAAAGCATACAATTGAGAGCTCAACCATGTGGGGGATTATTTGCGAACAACTTTCTAGACACACATCTGTTCATGTTCCCAAGTTTAACATTGGTCTGTTTGGAATGCATTTTTTAATGGGTTGACTGGGCTGTATGACTGGTAACAGTAGTTACTGCCTATGCACCAGGCTTCTGGCTCGAAGATTGTTTATCATGGTCGTGTATTTCTGATATGAAACCCCACTGTGTTTCAAACAATATAGCATTAATACAATGAGAGGACCATATTGTATGAATGGGATACCTGTTTGAGGTTTCTATTGTTCCAGTGTTTCACAAATGGTCCGTCCATACATTGAGGCAACCTTTATTGCATACAATTTTGGATGAGATGCCATTGTTTTCTTTTCAAAAATTTAGACTTGGTGTGGAGGTACAGGACCAATGCCAAAAGGCCAAAATTGGTGGAATCTCAAACAATCGATTCTTGTCCAGTAAGCAGACCTAGTTGATTCTCTGATATGGTGTCCTCACCTTCTCCGACTGTTGAACTTAGTTGCTTGAGTGAGGAGAAATGGGGTCATGTCATCTCTTGCCTTGACTGAGTTTTATGTTTGGATGATATCTGGTCTCCACTATCTAACAGAAGATAGTTGGTTCAATGCTGCTGCTTGGCCAAAATTAAGTTATTCCAGGAAGAAAAGAAAAATGAATACTAAATAATGAGCAAAATAATGTTTTTTTACCCCATAAATAATTTCTGACACTTAGACATGTTGATGTTTTCCCCCAAATGGTCTGCTCTGCTGTTCAAAGTAATGGATGTAATTTCCATTCTCAGAATCAGTTTGTTTATTTATTGCATAATATGGAGTTCTGAACTAGATTGTTTCATGAAGGTTACTCGGATGATAGGTCTGGATTCGTTGTATCCTAGACAAACATACTGCACCAAGCACCAATTTTTTTTCTGAAAGTCATTTATCACATGTATAAGCCACCTAGTTCATTTTCATTGTTCTATTGCTGTTTGAGTCATAATCAGTGTAATATGTTGCTACGAGCCTGCGGCAGCAGATACTAATGTCAGAAATGTTGAAAGATCTAAAATACCACCTTTATATATCTTGCATATACATTTCTTGCTTTTTTATTATCAACAGTCAATATGATCCATACTTTGAATCTAATTATTAGTATCAAGGATCAATATTTTGTTTTTGTGCATTGTTTCGGTCACCTAGAAACCGGAAACGTTTCAACATGTTTCAGAAATGTTTCGGCGCGTTTCGAAAATAGAACAAAAAAAAAATAAATATTTAAGAATTATTTTTTCAAAACATTAGTCGAAATATACCAAAATATCTTCAAATATCTTGAAACATTCCGAAATAATTATGCAAATGTATTGAAATATAACAAAAAATTTTGAAACATTATGGAACACCTCAAAATATTAGAATTTTGATTCCATCACTGATTCGTTTCGGTCTCCTTGGAAACGGAAACGTTTTGGATGTTTCGACTATTTCAAAACGATATTTTGATCCTTGATTAGTATTGACTTTAGATATTGCTGGAAGTGGAAATTTTTCCTCAAATATAAAGGAAGTTTATGGGTCATGTCAGTGATGGGAGTTGCATGTAGACCCCGGAATTTAGGAGTTAATATTGACAAATAGGATATGCTAGACTTCTGTGGAAATGATTATCTCTTGTTCTCTATCCTGCACGATCATCATATAATTCTGATCAATTTTAAAATTATACACTGCACAGACAAGCTTTTCTGGTGTTGAAGTCATGCCTCTTCTTCCCGATGAGTCCATGGATGTTGAAATACCTGAAGAAGACCTGGAAATTAGTTTCTCCAGAGCAGGTGGGAAAGGAGGCCAGAATGTGAACAAGGTTGAAACTGCGGTTCGTATTACTCACATTCCCACCGGTGTTACTGTTCGTTGCACAGGTTCTTTCTCGAACTGTTTTTCTTTCTTGAGGTTTTGTTCTTCTGCTTCTGTTGTTTCTTGACTGGGTATGTATGTTTGTATGTATATTGGTGAGAATTGGGTCCATAGAATTGTTTATATTGGTACATTTGGTTCTGTTTATAGGGTGGTTTATATTGGTACATTTTCTCTTAACACAAAGAAGCATGATTTGGCAATTATTTCAGTTGGATTAAAATTCCAGTGCTATCAAGTAGATGTTTCCCTGTTTCTAGAGGTAGACAACTTAAACAACTGACTTATGCTAAAACAAAGGGAGCGAAGCAAGACCTAGTGAAGGGATTGGATAGATATAAAATGAGAGATTAAGATTTTAATTATTTAAGTATTATTTCCTATTTGGATTTTATTATTTATTAGATTATTTGGTTTGGTAGTATCCATCTGTTTGGAGATTTGAATAGAGTTTAGTAGTAGAGTAATTTTAGTATTGGTAGAAGATTTAATTAAATCCGAGTTGAATATTCATTTGAGTATTCTTTGGGGAGAATTTGTGATTCTTGACATAGTTCTTGGCGGGATTTGGTTAACCTCTTTCTCATCCTTCCCCAGCATCAATTGGTATCAGAGACCAACTTTGATCCTCAATTGCTGCTATTTCTCATCACGCTTAACTGAACATGCGTTTGTCACTGTTCATTGTCTTTGCTTTCTTTCGTCACTGTTTCTTCATTGCTCAAATCTCCATCATTCCACAGTTTTGCCGGCAACAACGCATGTCAACTTGATGGAAAACGCTGCTTTCATGCTCTTTGCCGTATCAAATCAGTCATTTCCGACATTGTGAAAGTTGCGTTGAATTTGAAGGTCGCCATAATCCTCATCATTTGCTAGTGCAAGACGTCATTGCGACCTGTTGCATTGACAACTTTTTTTGTTCATTTTGTTGCGGTTGAAACCAAAGCTAGGGTTTTTTAAGATACAGAGCAGTGATCTCTAATGTAAACGATGACCTGGTTGTTGGGTTAAATTTTTACCAAGTTGTTGCCCTGTCCATTTGGTTTAAGTTAGAGAATTTGACCCACTTGTTTGATAGTTGGTCCTATTACTTTTTAAAGGGCTTTTGGCCCACTTCATCAGAAACCTATTGCCAACCAAATCCAAAAACTAATATTGAGACCCAATCAATGTCTAAACAATCCTATCTAATCGAGAAATAAAAAGAAACAATCTCTTTTGATCCAACCTAAATTTTTTGGAAATTAGAGATCCACCACAACGATGGATTTGGTTGAGCTTTATATTGTGGCCTCACAGAATTAGTCAACTACAGTAAATAATTTTCTAACACCAAAATATTAGGTTTCTTTAGAATTTAAAATTTTCTTACAATTGTAATATATCCAAATAAAAGGTAAGGTTGACAAAGATCATTCCTAAAAATTTGCTTTTAGGCTATAGTATTAGAACTCATTGAAGCAGTAGATTACTTGTGACAAGCCCAGATTTAGACCAGACCTAAGCCTAGTTCATGCGTTAAGTCCAAACCATCAAAAGACGGATCAGACTTATTTTTACTTGTAGCTATCCTTACTGAAAGACTAGTAGCATGATCAGGGTTAGCTGGATTGGGGGTCGATTGGGTACGTAGTACGGGTACAGGTGTGGGGTACGTTACTCTTTTGCGGTACGTGGTGCAGTGAGGGTAGGCATAGCTAGTACGCTATTTTGAGTAGCGGTTCATTTTGAACTATTATTCGGGTCATTTTCATTATTATAAAGAATTATATAAATATATACATTATAAAATGCAAATTAAGACCAACAACAATACATCAACTAATAATCATGTATAAAAAAGTAATGATTACATATTTTATTATCAATAAAGACGGCATATAAATTTAAAGACTTAAAATTTAAAAAATAACGTATTAGAGAGCGATTAAATAATTCTTACTTGAAGCACAAATCAAAATAACACTTTTAAACATCTAACAATTTTTAAATAAAAATTACTTAATAAGAAAAAAATTGGAGCACATGAGTTAATTCTCAACTCTTTTCCCGTTATCTTTCGCAGTGTTCCCTTCTTTTACAAAGTTACTAATTTGAGTTTGATGCAGTCTGGAATGACGGAGTGGTGGCCTGCTAAAACTAGTAGGTGGCTTGTCAATAGAGACAGGCATAGAAGCATGTAAGGATGAAGCTTCCCGATCTTCGTCTCCAGCAATGGTAGAACTATCTGTATTGTCATCCTCCAAGGATTTTCATCGCAAATCCTCCAATCTCACACTTGAATCATCTATATATGTGTGCTTTGGATTTATATCCCATTTCTTAAAAGGACCATCTTTGTAACTTTTACTAAAACTTGATTGGAGACGAATATTTGAATGGATGAAAACCAATTTGTCAGCTTTGATAGAATTTAATCTGTTTCTCTTGACATTGTGAATAAATGAATACGTGCTCTAATTACTTTCAGTTGAAGAACTTATAATTGGTTGTGATAACACCTTTTATGAAAAAAAATAATAAGACACATTAATAATGATAATTAACAATAAAAATAAATAACTTGTAATTTAAATTGGTACTTTTTTTGCCATTTCTGCTAATTCTGGAGTTTCTGAACTATATGTCGACCATCAATCAATAGCATTCATGGTCACAACATCTGTTTGAGCCGTCACTATAGCATAAAGACCCTTTAGCGAGTGAAAATGTGCATACTGTTTTCTCAATTATTTTGCTTCTTTTACATCTTCTGCTATCTTTTCAAAAGCTTCCATAACATCTATGATGACCTCTCTATCTTGATTTGGAGTTTTTCTAACTGTACCTCCCGGTGCTAGCTTAGTAAGATATTGGGTATCATAAAACCGTGGTGTTAGTGCAAACCCAAGACAATGCAAATGAATATTCTTCTCCTCCCATCTGTTAAGTACAAATTTTTCAATCTGGGGGAAATTTATCAACGTATTTTTTACCCCTCATTATATCTTTTATTTCACCTAGCATGTTGTCCATCTTCTCATAAATCTCACCCATTTTCTGACCTTCTCCATCTCAAAATTTAATAAGAAAAAAATATAGGTTTTGTAATACTTATGATATTCTCCACATCCTTCCAAAATTCTTCACTAATAACAGTTTTTGTGACCAAAGCACCTAACTTCCTTGTTTGTTCATACCCAGATTTCACCAATTCTTTCCATGACTTGAGAATAATGGTAGTTGCAAGGGACTCTTTACAGTCAGCAAGTCGCTTCAACAAAATATAATACGATGCAAACCTGGTTTTAGCCACTTTTAATAGCTCCAATTTAGATTGAGCTCTAAACATAGTCAAAGCATGTGTATGGTTCAAGAAATATTTAACAATAGATTTTCTCCTTTTATAAGTATTTTTAAACCACTCAAATTTTTTTGCAATGTCTTTAAAAATTAAATTCAGAGTATGAACAACACAAGGAGACCAAAATATATGTTTGTGTACCTTTTGTACCTCTTTCCCCGCAAGTTTGCAATTTGCTGTGTTATCGGTCACTACTTGAATGACATTTAGTGGACCTACTTCTTCAATGGCTTTCAACAAGAAATCAGCAATTGCTTTACCTATTTTCTCTACTTTCGAGCATTATCAGAACGTAAAATATGTATATGACAACCATATTGAGTTTTTATTTTCTTATGAAAAGTCTCAAATATAGAGAATAATTCAGACCGAGCTTCCATCAAAAACAACCAAGTTACATGAGAATAGTCATCCACAAATGATACAAAATAAGGATATTTATTAGATAAAATATTCTTTATTGGATCTCATACATCAGAATGTACTAACTCAAATGGACTAGACACACGATTTTTGGCTCTAGACTGAAATAACACACGGTGATGCTTACTAAGTTGACAAGCTTCACAAGACAAAGACGACACACAACTAAGACTGGGAACTTGACACTTCAGATTCTGGAGAGAAGGATGTCCAAGATGATAATGCCATTGAAAAGAAGACAACGAGGTCTGTAGAGCCCGAGTAGGGGAATCAAAATCAAAGTAATATAGGCCACTAGTTTCATGTCCCACACCAATCTTCCTCTTCGTCTTGAGATCCTGAAAGATTCAATAAGAGGGATAAAAGGTTATTGAACAATTGAGAGAATGAGTAATCTTATTAATGGAAAGTAACCTAAAAGAAAAGTGAGGAACAAATAGCACGAAGATAGGGGCATATTAGGACTCAAGTGAATAGTTTCTAGATTTAAAACTTTAGAATAAGTACCATTAGCAAGAGTAACGCTACGTGTGGAAGTAGCAGACTGATAAGTAGAAAAAACATTAGATGCACCAGCCATGTGGTCAGAAGCACCAGATTCTATAATTCAGGGATTGCGAGTGGAAGACAATAAACAAGTGGAAACAATACCTGACTGGGCAAAAGTAGTAGTGGAGGGAGATGAGACAACCTGTTGTTGGGACAGGAGTTGAGCATACTCCTCTTGTGTAGTAGTAACTGTCCCAGTGTCTGATGGAGCTGACCGAGGTATGGAAGCAACAATAGAGGTTTCATCCTGATAAGAAGCCTAATTCGCAATACCAGAAGGTTTTTCATGTAAATCCCAACAGAAATCAACAGTGTGCCCTCCATGGCCACAGTAAGTACAGGAACAAGATCTACTACGGTGCCCACCACCACCCGTACGACCTCTTTGACCACCACACGACCACCTCAATGACTATCACTGTGGCTACTAGGAAACATAAGAGCTGAGCGATCAGTGGAGACATCATGATCGATGCCTGGGGTAAACAAAGTAGCACGCTGTACATGAGAGAAAACCTTAAGTAGTGAGGGAAGACTAGGACCACCTAAAATTTGAGAACGAATACCCTCATAGTCAGGTTTCAATCCTACCAAAAACCTAACAACATTCATGTCCTTATGTTGCTTTTGCCAAACTGTTGCATCAGTAGTAAACGGATGGTAGGTCTTCATCTCCTCACAGACTCCCTGAACGTAAGAGTAATAATCCTCAATACTCTGAGTACTTTGTTCCAGTCAGAAGTACTTCTTGCATACCTCATAAGCTCTGGTAAAATTACCTGTACCAGAATACATAGTGGCCAAGTGATCCCATATCTCCTTGGCAGTGTCAAGATAGAATAGAGTAGAACTAATATTAGGCTCAATGCTATTTAATAGTAAATAAATAATTTGAGCGTCCTCTTGTTCCCGTTGATCATACCTAGGAGTANAAAAAAAAAAAAAATTTGTTTTGGGCATTTTTGCCCTAAATCCCAGCCTCTCTTCTTCAACTCGATCCCAAGCTCTCTTCTTCAAATCGCTGCCTAAATCTCAGCCTTTCTTCTTCAAATCGTTGCCTATTCATCTTCAACTCGATTTTTGCTGGGTTGTTGCCGAAGCTCCAGCAGAAAATCAATGATGTAAGCTCCTCGTCCTGCTAACCGCTCTCCACCACGTAAGCCTCCACAGCCAGCTGCTTTTGCTCCTCCACCAGCGCCTGTACAAAGGGGATCTGCAAGTGGAGGGCTTGGTTTTGTAGTTGCTGAAGGCATGACCTTTGGTGGTGGGAATGGAATTGCCTACAGGACTAAGGATTTCGTGTTGGGTCCCAGGGCCATAGAAAATATCAAGTAACAGGTAGGCTTTTAACAAATATTATATTAATGCCCTTGACTGGTTAGTAGTTTGGACCTTAAAGTTGAATTTTGATATTTGGTACATGTTTTTTTTTACTTACCTTCATTAATTTTATGACAAATTATATGTATTTTAGACATGTTTTATATTTTCTAGCTAAATTATTATGTTTTATAATTATTATATATATATTTTTATTTTTTTATTATACGACCGGTTCGACCAGTTGACCCAACGGTTGAACCAGTGAACCATTGACCCGGTCTCCTTGTCGGTTCGATTACCAGTTTGGTTCTGATAATATTGGTTGTGACCCTATTTTTTTGTAGTTATTATGTCTTTGTCAATGTTACTTTTTTTTCTAATACAAGAGCTATTCTTTCACCCGATTTGATCTTTATTAGTCAGGGGCAACTGATATTACCTCTTGTATTTGGTGTATTTTCTCCATCTTCAACTACTGACCCTTCATTGTATGTTTGTCATTGTTCCACTAATAGACTAGTTGTTTCAAATGCTCTAGCTCCCCAACCAATATCTAATTCCACTGCTTGATTTGCCTATTGAATTGTGGAAGGTACTCGTATTTGTACTCAACATCCCATTTCTAATTTTGTCTCTTTGCATCGACTTTCCTCTTCATTTCACTGTTTTGTATCCACCTTGTTGTCGATCCTTGTTCCTAGCTCTTTGAAACATGCATTGACATCTCTTGGATAAAAATTGACTATGGATCAAGAGATAAGGCACTTCATGAAAATTATACATGGGAACTTATTTCTGTTCCATCTGGGAAGCAACTTGTTTGTTATCTTTGGGTGTATATTGTGGAATATCCTCCTGATGGTTCTGTTAAGTGGTTGAAAGCACGGTTGGTTGCTAAATGGTATAGATGTGGATTATTGTGAGACCTTCTCCCCTGTTGCTCGTCTTACATCTGTTAGAGTTCTTATTTCTATTGCAGATAATTTTGATTAGCCTTTGTATTAATTGAATATAAATAATGCATTCTTACACGGAGATCTAGGAGGAGGTATATATAACTCAACCTCCAGGTTATGTGATTTTAAGCCAAGAACAATAATTCTGTCATTTGAAGAAGGCACTGTATGGTTCGAAACAGTCACCACAATACATCAGTTTGGTTTTTAGCGCTCTATCTCAGATAATTTAGTTTTCACTCGTCTGTCTTCTACAGATATTATTATTGTTATTTTGTATGTCGACGACATCATCATCAGTGGGAATGACTCAGATGGTGTTGCTCACTTCAAGGCCTATTTGGGAAAGTAGTTTCATACCAAAGACTTAGGTCTTCTTCGGTACTTCTTAGGAATTGAGGTTGCCCGCTTAAAGGAAGGGGTATCAATTTATGCTAACGAAAGTATGTAGAGTAGACTTACTATCTAAAAAAGGTACTCTTGGTACACGTTTGATTGATATGCCTATGGACCCTACGGTTAAACTAGATCATGAGAGAAGTCTTTGATGATATAGGGCGATATCGACAATGAGTTGGTAAACTGATTTATCTTACGGTTACACGTCATGATATCACATATATCGTTAGTGTGGTTAGTTAACACATGCATGCCTCTTGTAAGCCTCATTGAGAGGCTGTCTGTCTCTCATATATACGTCGGTATTTGAAAAGGGTTCCGGGGAAGGGTTTATTATATCATTCATCATCATCCATAACTGTTATTGGTTTTTCTGATGCTGATTGGGCATGACAGTGGTAGTGATAGATGATCTACGTTTGGGTATTACACATTTGTTGGTGATAATTGTGTTATTTGACAATAGTAAGGAACAGAATGTGGTTGGACGTTCTAGTGCATGGGATAAGTATCGTGCTATAGCACATATTGTTTGTAAGATGTTATGTGTCTGTTCTTTATTCTGTGATATGAGACTTGATGTGGCTTCCCCTATTAAGATGTACTGTGACAATCAAATGGTTATTTTCATCGCAAGTAATTCGGTATTTCATGAGCGTACTAAACACATTGAGGTGAATTGTTATTTCATTCAAGATCTCTTGATGCGAAAGAAGATCATCACTCCATATATCAAGTTTGGTGATCAGGTGTGTAATATTTTTACTAAGCCATTGGCTTGATCCACCTTTAGTGGTTTATATTCCAAGTTGGATATTTTTGTTCTCTATGTTCTAGCTTAAGGGGAAATGTTAGAATTCTTATTTTATATATTAGACATATGTTAGTTTGTGTAGGGTAATATTGTAATTACTCTATTATTGCATAGCTATAAATACAAGAGTGTAGGGCTAGGAAGCACGAATACTCGCCCAATGATCGCCATGGCAGTATCGAACACGTGTCTGACACGGGTACGTGTGGGATACGGTTGGACAGATGTTCGATACTTGTAGAAGTGTTCTGTACGACTCGGATATGTGGGGGACACGGGAGGGATACGACATGGTTATTTTTGTTATTTTAAAAACTTAGGGGGCTGAAATGGGAAAAAAGAGGCAAAGCTACGTTGTTTTGCGTTAAAAAAACAAAAATAAAAGGCAAACTAACCTGCGACTTTCCAATGTGTTCGATCGAGAGAGAGAGAAGAGGCAAATGAGGTCAAAGAGAGGACCAGAGGAGGAGAAGGAGAGGAAAGAGGAGACTAACCTGCGACCTGGACCGGCGATCTACTGCTCAGTTCTCCTGTAGGTTCCTCTTGCTATTTCAATTTTTTTTTCAGATTTGCTGCTCTTCTTTTTTTTTTTTTTTCTTTTTTTTAGATCTGTTGGTCTGTGGTGGACTTTCAAAAAAATTGATTAGGTTAATTTGATTGGGTTAGGGTTTTCAAATTTTAGGGGTTTTTGTTGTTGTGTTGTTGTTTATCTCTGTCTTCTTGCAGTGTTGCTGTCTTTTGGGGTTTTTTTTTTGGTCTGGTGCTGTGTTGTTGCCTTCGGGTTTTATTTTTGGTCTGCTGTGTTGCTGCCTTCTATGCTGTTAGTTTTGAAGTGAATTGAGAGAGGATGTAGGATTCTTTTTGTTTTTGTGTTCTTTTGTTAGCAAACTTGTGGTTATGGACTATGGATGTATCTTTTTGAATCTTTTATCTATTTTAATTTAAGTAATGTTTACTATATTTTTGTTGTTTGTTATTATTAATGTTGTTATATATATATATATACTAGTCATTGCCCGTGCCTGAAGGCACTATGTTAGTTATAAAATTTTAATACACAACGATAGGATATTAGAATATTTTCAATACAAAGCGATTAGATTGGTTTTGAACATTTTTTGTTGGTGCAATTGGTATCTTATTTTTTTTGTATTGGTCATCTATTTTTTTTTAATTGTTGATTAGCTTGGGCTTTGGATTTTTATTTTTTATTTTTTAAGAACTATAGGTTTTCATACAGTAATGATTTATTTTTGGTATGAATAATAAATTGATAATTTTATTTATGGATTATAAAGACAATTTAAATTTCATTGATTGATAAGAAGTAAGAAGTAAACTTCAACCAGCGTTACTAAGATGTGTGATAAGAAGATCTACCTACGGTGTATTCTAGGTGTGAATCAATTTGTAATAAGAAGGATGAAAAATTATATAGTAAGTATATAATAGTTTTTAATGAAATATTATACCAAAGATTTTAAAAAAATCGATAAACCAAATAACTTACATGTCAAAAAATGGTGACATTGTCCATTTGGGTACTGATTTTTGTGTTGTAGTGATGGTGTGTATGAGGTTATTGGGGTCAAACCTAAATTGACAAACCTTGAAAAAAGAAGTACTAAACTTAGAGATGATATGTATTTTATGTGTGTTTAATAGAAATATTTTTAATTTTATGCAAATTTTTATCGTAAAATTAGAAATTAAACAAAACTAACCTAAATCAAGATATAAACAATATACTTTTAACATATAACATTTAACAACAATAAGTTAATAACAATATATCTACAACTAAATCACACAAACATTACAAATTAAAAACAATAAACTATTGCCAAAGTATACACTACTAAATCAACACGAAAAAATCATCCATATTCATAAACACGCATAAATGTTAAACATTTTCTAATAGCACAGTTATAAAAATTAAACATAAAATATTTGATAACTACCCAGTTATAAAAATTGAACAATAAAAATAATCAACATGAAATAATGAGATGCTTTGCCATTAACAAAATTTGTAATAAATATTCTTTTAACTAATCATTTATGACAATCAACAATATGTTTTGTTCACTTTCAATAAAAATTAAAATTTTGAGAATTATAAGTCTTCATGTAATTCTAAGCAAAGTGGTGATTATGTATGAATAATAGTTCGAAGGTTTTATTTATGTATTGAATATTTGTATTTTTTGTTTGTGTGAAAGTGGTAATGACAATTAGATTGATTTTGAAATTTTTTTATGCAATTGGTAATTCTTGTTATTTTTTATTAGTCACTTATTTTTTTTATTGGTGATTAGATTGGACTTTGTTTTTTTTTTCTTTTTTGAGAACTACATGTTTTCATATAATAGTGATTTATTTTTGGTATGAATAATAACTTTATGATTTTATTTATGGATTGTATATTTATACTTTTTATTTGTGTGGAAGTGGTGACGGCGAATAGATTGGTTTTGAATCTTACTTTATTATATATATATATATATAGAGAGAGAGAGAGAGAGAGAGAGAGAGAGGAGATGAGAGAGTGTGTTTAAAATGTCTAAGAGATAAAGAGAGAAAGAGTTATATAATAGATAGTAGTGTTAAAGTTAAGTCCAATTATAATCGTCGGATCATAATTTTTGAGATAATCTGAAGCGTCTTTTATGTTGAGATTACATTATCCGTTGGATGTGTTTATGTTTTGTCTCAAAATGATCTGAACCTCTCTTTGTCTTTTGGATTTAAACTTCGTTCTATTTTATTATCCAGATATATAATTATTTTAATTAGCCATATCCTCACTCTTGTATTGAGATTTTATTGTATTCTCGTGTCGGTATCGTATCGGATACGACACCCATGTCCGCATCTATGCTTCCTAGGTGTAGGGCAACCTAAACCTACACAACATATTATTTTCTTTCTTTTCTTCTCATTTTTTCT